GTATGGAATGCAAAAGAGTAAGTCTGACCACTCAGTCTTTTATAAATAGTCTGAATCTGGCATTATTCTCCTTGTTGTGTGTGTTGATGATATTGTTATTACCGGCAATAATACTATGGGGATTTCATCTCTGAAGTCCTTTATTCACACCCAATTTCACACGAAAGATTTAGGGGTGTTGAAGTATTTTTTGGGAATTGAGGTGACAAGAAGCAAGAAAGGCGTCTTCTTATCTTAGAGAAAATATGTGTTTAACTTATTAATTGAGACGAGAAAGTTGGGAGCTAAGCCGAGCAGTGCTCCAATGCTTCCAATTTGCAACTTACCAAAGATGGTGACTTATTTGAAGATCCTAAGAAGTATAGAAGACTAGTTGGGAAATTGAACTATCTTACATTAACTCGTCCTGATATTGCGTATTCTGTCAGTATTGTAAGTCAATTCATGTATTCCCCAACAGTTCGCCATTGAGCAACTTTAGAACAGATCGTGTATTATCTAAAGTGAGCTCCTGGACATGGGATACTATATAAAAATATGAACATAGTCGCATCAAATGTTTCTCAGATGCAATTTGGGCAGGTTCCAAGATTGACCGAAGATCCACTACTGGCTACTATGTTTTCGTTGGAGGAAATTTGATTTCATGGAAAAGTAAGAAGCAAAATGTTGTGTCCCGATCCAGTACAAAATCAAAATATAGAGCTATGGCGCAATCTGTATGTGAGATAATGTGGATATATCCGGTCTTAACTGAAGTTGGTCTTAAGGCTTCAATACCAGCTCTTCATATTGCTTCTAATCTTGTGTTTCATGAACGAACTAAGCATATTGAGATTGACTGTCATTTCGTTCGTGAGAAGATACAACAAAATTTAATCTCTACAAGATATGTGAAAACTGGAGAACAACTAGGAGATATTTTCACAAAGGCTCTAAATGAGACTCGAGTTGATTATATTTGTAACAAATTGGGCATAATTAATATCTATGCTCCAATTTGAGGGGGAGTGTTAGTCTAAATAAACTTACAGCCTGTAGAATTATATAGAGGCTTAATTATAGGGATTCCTTCTTCCTAATATAGATTTCCCAATCTGTATATATATGTATCTTTTCCTATGAATAAAATATATCGAGAAATTATTCTCTCTTTCTTACATATTCGTTGAGGACCTGGGGTTCCTTTACACACAATGTGGGTTTTTCCGATAGATCTCGTGCTTTAGATTCTCTACTCTGCTTAAAATGACCCACACTTGGTTTCTAGAACAAACAATGTAATAAGGAAAAATTCCAAGTGAGATATTAACATAAATTGTAAAATTTTTTTTTGATAAGTAAACATAAATTGTAAAATAAAATGTGAATGTTCCAAAATAAATATGCTCACCTTTCACATTTTCTAGACGTGCCATCATTGAGCATTTCTACCTGTATTATAAATACGCCATGCCAGTGCTGCTTAGCTGGAAGCCTTTGACGTTTTCCTTCGGTTCATGAATTTCCGCGGCAGCATTTATTGTTATTGCCCTTCACCGAGTAATGGATTTGTTAGAATTTAATGTTCAGTTTCTCTTTTATGCTCTTCTACAATTTGTTTCTATTTGTCTGCATTAAATTATAGTTTTTTTATTTTTACTTATTTTTTCCTTTAGAAACTACAGGTACAGAATTTAGCCAGGACTTAGTTTATGAATCCTCAGTTATCCGGACTGGCTTAGAATGGACAAGCTATGATATAGAGCACCTCGTCCCAACAGTTGTGGTAAAACATATGCTATCTTCTCCCAATTCTCATTCATATAGTCTTCAACAGCAAAGGCAGCAACGACTAATGCAGCAGCAATTAGCTTCTTCTTCTCAGTTTCATCAGAATTCAATGGGATTGAACCCACAACAGATGTCTCAAATGGTACAACAGCAACAACAAATGAGCCATTCCCAGATGAACCAGCAACCACAACTGCTTTCGCACGACCAGCCGCAGCAGCAGCAGCAGCAGCCACAACCTCTTTCGTATCAGCAGCAGCAGTCTCCAAAAATGGTGGCTCTCGGAGGCCAGAAATCTGTTAGTTTGACGGGATCTCAGCCGGATGATACTGCATCCGGAAATACTACCCCAGGAGGGAGTTCAAGCCAAGGGACTGAGGCTAGCAATCAGCTCCTGGGGAAGAGAAAGATACAAGATCTAGTTTCACAGGTTATTCAGAGCAAGTTCATTAATTTACATTTTTTAATTCACTAAATTATGTAAAATTTCGTTACAAAATTCATGATTTGGACTTTTGATTTTATGGATTTAAGTAAAAAAATCAGGATCAAATCAGATAGCGAGTTGGAAATAAGAGGAACATTTAATGCTATGTGTTTTCTTTTTTGGATGCGGTAAAGGGATTAATCTAGTCGTTAATTTAATGTCATAGTTGGATCCTCATGGAAAGCTGGACCCCGAAGTTGAAGATCTTCTTTTAGAGATGGCTGATGATTTCATTGATTCGGTAAGGCTAGCAGATGCATGATGAAAAATAATATTGGCAATTGTTGAAATATTGTGTCACGCGACGGACAGTTGAGTGATTGGGGGGTGAATTATTTTTGAGTTTACTACTTAGCATTGTTTTGGGGGGTTGGGGGTAACAGTCCAATATCAGTTGTTTCAAATGTTAGTAGAGCTGGTACTACTCTAAATTTTGGTATCCTACATCGTTTAGTTGTACCCTAGAGTGTTGATCATGGGTCACCGTGGCTAGCGATGTGATAGGAGTAGATTATGTAGGATCTGTTCGAAAATTAGTAGTGATGTAGGAACTTTCCTATTCTGTAGAAACTTTCTATATCGTGTGGTTTTCTTATATATTTATTTGTTGGATTGTGGGTTGATGTGTGTGAATGTGTGGAGGTGGAGGTGGAGGTGGAGGAGTTGGTGATCTGCATGCTTAAACATGAATTTTTTACTTTCCTTTGATGATTCATCCTGTCATATCTTGTTGTAGGTTACATCATTTGCTTGCACCCTGGCAAAGCATCGGAACTCTTCAACTCTGGAAGCCAAAGATGTACAGCTGCATTTAGGTCTGTGCTTCTGGGCTTCTTTATATAGCATCTTCACCTTGCAAATAGAAGCAGTGCAACTTACCCCTGATGTTTAGGATACTGATCGATGTTATATAATCTGTTAACTCTCTTTCACATCAAACTTTATCACTGTATCCTAACACAAGGACAATTTGAACTCCTTTCTTTTTCATTGCATCATTATCTGAAAATTATTCAAAGGACTGCATGTTCTTGTGGCTTAGTTCGTTCCCTTGGGCTAACAGAAGGAACTTCTGCAGAGAAAAACTGGAAATTGACCATTCCAGGGTACTCTAGCAAAGATGACAAACACCTCACAGAGCATGTAAGCATTGTTCTCTATTCAAAATCTTTACTTAATGCATCATGGGCATGGTGTTTGTTATAGTCATGATATTAGGTGGTCTTATGTTCAACTATTGCCAATCAATGAAGTGTGTTATACTTGGATAAGGTCAGGAAGCATTTGCCCAATATTTTGCATTGATAATACGTTTATGAAGAAGTATATTTTTTTTCGTTGTTACTTTTTCAACTTAATTTGGATTCCATCTATGAAGTACTATGACACTTGGATAAGGCCAGGGAGCATTTACCCAATATTTTGCATTGATAATATGTTTATGATGTATAACATGACTACTACCTTTTTCTATTCTATTGACTTTTTCAAATCTTAATTTGGGTTGCCCATTTATGAAGTATTGCGACACTTGGATAAGGCCAGGAAGCTTTTACTCAATATTTTGCATTGATAATACATCTTTGAAGTACAGCAAGTGTGTTACCTTTTTTTTTTTTCCCCCTAATATATTTTGGATGTACATGACAATAAATTTAAAGTACACTGGAACTCGTTTTGCAAAATAAAGAAAATGTTTAAACAATACTTTTCCATGTCCAGAATTGCATCCAAATTCCAGTGACATAGTGGTTTGCAGTAATAAATTTTCGAGTAATTTAAATAACATCAGATGCAAAAACATATTCTCTGTACTTGGATTTGCTATTACTACATGCTTATATTTATGTTAAATTTGGAATGTCTTGCAGTTACCAAGTGAAGTCCACGAAAAGCGTCTGGATGTGGTAATTGTTCACACTAAATTTTACCTGGATTGTTCCCTTCAGGAATATATGATCCATTCCTTTATAAAATTCTTACTCAGATACATAGTTCAGTGGAGCATTCCCCATCGGAGGCAGGTACAAATAATGCTAGGCTGATGGGCACTGGGCAGACAGGAGCCCGGCAATCCAGCTGGTCCAAGCCACATGTTAAGTATTTTGTAATAAACTCAATGCCATGATGCATGAAAATATATCGTTTTTTTACTCTTTCTTATGGACGAGTGCAATCATGAGATGGCTCATAATGGTCGGAAATGCAAAGCTGCTGACTTTCCTATCTTAAATGTTGTTTATTTATTTATTTTAGTTTTTGCTGTATTCCCTCTTCCATTTCTCCGCCACCAGTCACATGCTCTTTGTCCTTGTGCGTTTGTCCCTGTACACAAAAAGAAGAAGACAGGCTCCTGCATGTCGTTTCTTTTTATCTTCCCCCCTTACTGTTTCTCTCTTTTCATGAAAGCTAGGACAAATGGTTTGCCCATTATATTTTCCCCTCTTTTTCACTTGACAGAAAATGCATCGGCACCCCATAGTTCACAATATTATTGCAGTACATGTACTCTCTGTTGATTAAACATCACTTGTGTTATAGTAATCATAGATATATATATCTGTATATGAACTTGATATTTCAGTTCTCTCTCTTAATTTAATATTTTGAGCGACCCATATAGGATAGTGCATATAAATTTTAATTATGCCATGCCTACAGTGATGTAGCCTCACGTTTTTACTTTAGCCATCTACAAGAAATAAATTTTCCTTGTACTTATGGAGTCATGAATGGTATACAATAAAATTAGTATAATAATTTGCACCCATGTTGATTTCACAGCACAAAAATTGCCATCTGAGACTTAGTCCTCACTAGGTTGGCCGTGAAATCCTTGTCAATCTTCATCTAATTTTCTCCACTTTTACTACAATCCCATGGTGGCTTCTTGTATATTTTGGCAGCAGATTCTGGGAGTGCCTTGTTTTTCAACTATGAATCTCCATGTATTATGTCTGCCATGTACCTTACTGCGTACGTCGGTTTTCTGTCCAGCTGCACAAATCTAAGCAATTTTTTTCCTGTCACAGGTTAAATGAAGAATATTGTAGCTGTCGACTGCTTTGAAGGCCTGCGATTATTCAGTTAGGACTGATAATCACTTGGAGAAAGTTTTTATGGAAATACTGTGACATGAACATCCTTGTTGGATGAATAAGTTGGGAGTGTTTTTCACATTAAAGTGTACCAGAATTAAGTATTTTGAACCCCTTCTTGTGAATGGTTGACTTGCAATGGGATTATTATGTCACCACCCTACTATGTTTTCATTTTATGATAATTATTCAGTGAGTTTCTCTGCATTTTAAGTGCCAACACTGCAGGGAAGTTCATTTTGAAGCCAGTTTTTAAATATTGGCTTTGACAGTTAGGGCTCTGTGCTAGGCTGCTAGCAGAGGTGTAAACAGTTTTTGAGAAGGGAAAATTCAAATATAACCAAGAAAAAAATAATAATTCATGAGATACATAATTTACATACTATAAATACTAGATATTATACAAAAATAAATCAAAATTATTTTCTCCCATAATCTCTCTGATTTTTTGTAGCTGAAACACTTCGATAGCTGTTAACATGCCCAAAATTAATAACATTCCAAATTGCTAAATTCCTATTTGGTCCACATTATTTTTTTCATTCTCATTTTTCTACTCATTTTCAGCCACACATTTTTCAGTAAAATAATATTTTCCATCACATCAATAATTTTTCCTTCTTTTTCAATCACATATTCCCCATCACATCAACAAAAAAAATGCATTATTGTCCCCAAAATTTGCACTATTTTACCGAAATAAAATTGCTAAAATTATTGATATTCCACACTAATCTATTTTAAGTAATTGATTATAAATAAAGCAACCAATAAACCACTATCATCTTGATTACAATTCCTAGAAATCAACTACATTTAAACCCTGATGATTATTTCTAAATCTTAAGACGAAATTATTCATATTTTATTTTGTCTCGAAACTTTGTGCAATAATATTGAGGAAAATTGTAGCAGTGGTCCTTAACCTTTTCAATTTTTGCTGACTTTACTCTTAACTTTTAATTTGTGCCACGAAGGTCCATAACCTTTCAAAAATATGTAGTAGACCGTTAGTTGACCTAAAAAATTTTAAAATTAAATATTTTAACTATTTTAAGTAAGGGTATTTTCGTCAATACCATATAAACTAAAATAGAAAAATCAAAAAAGAAAAGAAAAATGGGTAATTATATTAGGGTAATTATATTACCACAACATCACCTTCTTGACATTTTTACAAATAAGAAGAAAGAGGAATTTTATATAAATTCTTAAAACTCACTATTTCAAAATCATATTTGCTCTGCTGGGACTGAAATTGTGAATTGAAATCTACTGCAAAAATTGTGAATTAAATTAGAAATGGGAAGCCATTTTTGGTTATCAAATTATGTTAAGAGGACTGAAATCTGCGGCATAAAGTAGCCCAGATGAATTAGGAAAAGATTGTAAATTTACGTGTGTTTTAAAGATGATGACCACACCACATTTTTTAGTTTTTATTGGATTAAGGGTATAATTGTACAATTATTGTGGTGTATTTATTAAAATGAAATTATATATGAGAAAAATGAGGAGTAACATCGAGATGATGAATACACCACAATACTAGATTATTATTTTTTCATTTTAAATTTTTATTGAATTAGGAGTATAATTGTAAAGTTATTGTGGTGTATTTATTAAAAATATATTTTAATTGTGGTGAAATTATAATGTGGTGTAGTAAGTAAATTTTGTGGTGGTAATATAATTACCCATTATATTACTAGTACAAATTTTATTAGTTACACCATAATTTTAAGCACGCTTTTTATTTACTTAAATAGCCTAAAGTAAAATTACATAAATGGGGTTTTAATAATTTATTCTTCCACCACAATCATAAACCTAATTTATTTATTTTTTTCATTTTTCTATGTCATTTCTTCCCCAAATTTCATCGAACAGGTGAGTTAATATTATTTCTCCTCAACACAATTTTTGATCGGTTAATTTATTTCTAATCAATTGAATAAATATGCTACGGGTAGTAATGGATGTTGTCTTGGAGTTAATTGAATTTAATTTTTTTCATCATAGCATAAGCAAATCCAGGAAGAGTTTGAAAAAAAGAATCGTGCTACTTGTACAACCGAGGTTGACAACCACTCACACATCGGATGGGTGGGTATTTTTTTATTTTTTTAAAATACATTGGGACCCACCACTGTGAGAGATTGTCAAACTCGGTTGTACAAGTGATGTTTCCCTTGAAAAAAATAATAGGCTTAGATAGGGGTGGGCAAAAAACCGACCGACCCGACGAAACCAACCGAACCGACCGGTTTGGTTCGGTTTTTTGCATTTTTTGGGCGGTTCTTGGGTTTCGGGTT